TAAAATAATATAATTAAAACTTCTAAAAATTTCTAATTAAAAATAAATTCTAGTCTCAATAAATTGGGATGAATTCTATGAAGAAGGGTCCAACTCAGTTCTTTCGTCAACTCTGTTGTAGTTATACTTGTAAATTTGAATTTTTCTACATTTAAACAAATTTTGTTTCTTTTTACCTACATTAGATTTTCAAAAGCTCCTCTCAAAACCGTATATGAAAAGCACTTTATTCATATTAAAAAACTAAAAGGAAAACTATACCTGAAATTAAAAATATTAATTAATATTTTAATTGAATAAAAAGAATTAGACACCACAACCACATTAGCCGAGAACAACAGCTCTTTATACCAGAAACATAACTAATTGTATATTCTAGTCCCTAGATGGCAATCCAATGGCACGCGTGCCAAGACTGGCACGTTTCAAATTTTCCTTGGCACGCGAGAAATTTTCAACTTTTCATATCGAATTGAAAAAAAAATTTTTTTTTTATTTGAAAAAAATTTTTTTTTGTTTTAAAAAAAAATTTTTTTTTTTTTGCTGGATAATTTTTTTTGTAACTTTTTTTTTGGATTAATTATTTGTTATTAATTACCCGTTTACTTAATTTTTAAATGGAAAACAGTGTATTCACAATTTAAATATATTTAGACGTACCTAGTTACTTATTTCTTAAAAAATATCGAGCATAATTTCTTCAATATTTCCTAATACCAAAATAATTTTTGAATTTTATTTTACCAAACATTCCTACTCGCTTTTTCTGTTCCTGTATAATGCATTTAATATTTCGTTTTCATTTTGATCCAATGAGAAACAATGAGAGAATTAATAACGAGAAATCTCTCTGTTGGTGTTTTGTTTTGTCTTGTTTTGTGTAAAATTGTTCTTGTTCTTGTTCTTACATTTGCTCTGATTTTTTTTCGATTTCACTTTGTTTAATTGATTAAAAATTAATAGATAAAAAATTGAGAAGTATGAGACAATGAGAGTTTTCCATATTTTTTTGAATGTGATGTTTAATTTGTTTTATTTTCTTTTATTTATTCTCGTTTAATTTAATTAAAGACTGAATTAATTTGTGTTTTTTTTTTGTAATGAAAAACTGTAATGTTTATTTTATTTTAAAAATAAAAATAATAGAAAGTAAGGCATTTATAGATTTCTCATTTTTCTCATCTTACTGATCCCATTACTTGAAAAATTTAAAAATAAACAACCAACCATTTATTATCTCACGAAAAAAAACTAACGCTTCAAAATTTCAACGGCTTCATGAAAAAAACTATCGATTTAAAATTTCAACGGCGATGCCCAGCAACCATTTCATATAAAATTGAAATTTAGTTTCCAAAGGAAATTTATTCGAAATAGTTAATTTTATTTAACTCAGGTTGAAATATTCCAGGAAAACAAATATTTATTTTCATCAAAGTCATATCGAATTAATTTCCTACAATCGACATTGATTCATTTCATTAATTCATTGACCAAAAAAATGTTCTGACATTTTTTCGCTGAACCCTGGCACGTTTGAAATTTTATCAATTTTTTTTTCCAAAACTGGCACGTAGGTTCGTTGGGTCTTGCCATCTAGGTTCTAGTCTGACTTCGACCAGAATATTGTATGATGTTATATGTAATTAGATTATTAAGACAAATACAAGCGAAAGATACTATTAGTAAGAGCTACAATGTGCTTGCTAAAATTACAAAATTACCCTAAAATAAGTTAGCAAAATCGAATTTTTTTCTTTTTTATTTAAAACTAATTTTTTGTAAAGAGTTTTGAAAAATGCTTAAAATTTGTGATATTTGAAAGTTTTATTAAGGTACCTTCACAGGAAAACTTACTGAAAATTAAATCTAAATTCCATTTATTCGGGACAAATTATGTTTCAGCTTGGGGCAAATAGTTCTCTAAAACCGCTGAAAGTATAAATTAAAGCACGAAAATAGAGGCATAAATTTATAAATATACAGAGGCATATTAGAAAAGATGCAGGCCTCAAACGTTCAAATGAATTGAAATAAATTTTAAACTTAGAAATAAAATTATCAAGGTCTTACTGTATTTTTTTAAATTATATTTATGTAGAATATTTTCACTATTCTATATCTATTAGATATTTTATTATTACACCAATACACAAATGTACAGATAAACATAATGAAAAGTTTTCTTATACTCCGATTCTAATTTTTCTCGTTTTTTTTTTTTTTTGATATATTCAGAATTTTATACATTCTTAATTTCATTTGTTTTTTGTGTTGGTTTTTTTTATGATTCTAGTTATTATTATTTTTTTTTTAATTTTAGAAGGATTCAACTTAGTAATCCCCACAAGTCCTTAAATTGAAAACTTAATTTTTGTATATTAGTCTTGGTCAGATTGTTTTATAAAATTTTTAGTTAAATCCATATTTTCTATTTCGTTCTATCATATAATTTTCTTGCATAGGAAAAAGTTTATTAGTTAAAATTTTTCAAAAAAAAGAGCAAAAAAAAAAAAAAAAATAAAAATATTTTCATCTCTTTCTTTCACATTTAAGTTAACTAATTCTTTTTATACGTTTAAGTTATTGTTGTAAATTTTATTTTATAAAATAAATGTGAATTTTATTTTACAAAAAAAAAAAAAATAAAAAAAACAAGGAAATAAAAAATTTATTTTAACTTAAAATGAGTGAAAATTTATAAATTAATTTATTGCAATAAAGATATTTATGTATGGACGTGTGTACATACATACAAGTATACAATTTAGTAAATTAATATTCGTATAAAGCTTCAAAATATAATATAAAATATAATATAAGAACTAAAATAATTCAAAGGATCTTTGTTGTTTTAAATTTTTCTTCTTTGTTTTCGTTTTTTTTTTATGCAAGGTGAATTGTCTCAAGGTATATAAAATTTGTTTCAGAAATTTTCTTACCCCAAAAGGTTTTATCATATAAAATATTTAATTTAAATATTTTATAATATAATTTTTTTTTTTTATTTTCTTTTCTCTATATTATTTTTCATAGTTAAAATTCAGGACGTAATTAAAATATTTCAGTTGGATGATTTTATTAGCATTTAATTATATAATCGGGGATTTTTTAAATATAAAATTAAAATATTATTTTTGAGATACATAATAAAAAGAACGAGGAACAAACAGAGCATTCAAAATGAAAAAATTTGGAAATAAACTAAGGAAAAAAATAGAAGCAGAAAAAAAAAATATAAAATCTCTTTTATAGGCTTAAAAATAACACGATCAATATAAGGATTCATACATCGTCAAAACGATTTCGAAAAAGAAAAATATTTTATTTTTTTTTGTTTTTTGAAAAATGGTCATACGAAAACTTTTACTTTTCCATTTATGTAAAATTTAGTCTTTAAATTATCACATCACTAAAACTGAAAGATAATTTTTCAAAGAAAAAATTTTTTATAAACGTTTGTATTCAATTTTATTGAAGTTTCTTATATAATTAATCTCCTAAATATTATGTTTTCAATTTGAGTTCAGAGATTTTAATATTTATTGAATTTAGAATAAGAAATTTAAGAAAAATTCACAATTTAATTTATTATTTGATAGAATTGCAAAATATAATTAAATCTGAATAATTGCTCTTCCAAAAAGTCTAAATTTTTAAAATATACACTGAAAAAATTATAAAACGTCCAAATAAAGCAAAATAAACTTTCAGAACATTATTAATTTAAATAAATAAATTATTCGTAATAATTTAATTTTTTATTTTAGTTGCTTCCAGACAACTAAGAAAAAGCTATTGACTAAAAAAAACATCAATAGATTAAATCACTCATTATCAAAATGTCGATAGCAGAAATAAATCGACAGCATCGACCTAATACAACTATTATCTTCTCTGTTCTCGGCAAAACTATAAATTCAGTAAAGCTTCTTATAAAAAAAAATCATCAGCACATAACCGACCGCAATGTGTATTATCTAGCTAAATGAAAGTATTACAGAATATTATAAAAATGGCTGTTGAAAACTTCTTCTCAAGTTTTAGGACTTTAGTAAGCTTATAATTAGCATACCTAGAAAAATGTAAACTTGGCTCTTAGTAGATTTTCGATTTGTGCTACCCGAATTCTCTGAAATGCTAGTCAGTTAGTTTTGGTAAGAGCCAGAACTCCAATATCAAATTTCAAGAAATTCCATTAATTCGTTCCGTAGATATGGTAAAAAAAGTAAAATCGGCCCCAGAAGAATTTAAATATTAAATTTCAATGAAATTGGTTGATTATTTCTCTTTATATACGCGAAAAATGTATATTTGACCCGCAGTAAACGTCCAGTTGCTGACACCTGATTTCTTCCAAAAGTTAGGAGGTTTCACGGACGTTCGAACGAAGCTTACGTAGGGGATTTGAAGCAAATCTGGTGAATATTTTATTCATAATGATCAAAAATGTAAAACAGGCCCGCTAAAAAATGTAGTTCCCGAGGCCTGATATATACCAAAAGTTGATCAATCCGTGCCAGACCGACAGATCGACAGGTTAGTAAAAATACTTTATTTGCAATTCACTACAATGAAGAAATTTGAATACCAAAATTTGTTGCCATCACATAACCTCCCTATTGTATACACAATACGGTCAGTAATTATCAAATTATTTTTTTGGATAACGCGATGTGACCTAAAACGGGTTCATTTAGGAATAAATTATTAACGAAACTTAAAAATTTCAACAAAAGCAGATAACTGATTTTTCTTTTAAAAAATATGTAAACCAACAAACTCGATTGTAATTATAGGGTCTCTCAAACAATTCAAAAAATTACCGAAAAATACGGGGTGTTATTTCCGACAGAAGTTGTTATGTTAGAAAACTATGTTATTTTCACTCAAAAACAAGATTTTTGCTTTATGTTTTAAAAGTTACTCAAATAATAAAAGAAAGGGTTAATCAAGTAAACACAATTTATTTTACAAAACACTTTTTTAAAATATTTTTCTTAACGTTTTAATAACTCTATTAATGCAGCTATATATGTTCGAGCCAATTGTAATGTTTCAAATTTTGATAAATTTCTTTCATTACTAAGAGTTGGTATTACACTTTTCAAACGTTCAAAAGCTTCATTTAATTTACACATACGTTTACGTTCTCTTGCATTTGCTGCCAATCGACGTTGTTTTCTCAAATAATCCATTGATAAATTATCATCCTTAGAATAAAAGTTATTTATATTAATTTTTATATTACTCTTCTTTTGATGATTTAAACGTTTCTTATTAACATTCTTTGTGCTAGAAGCTGTATTAATACTTTTAAATGTAAGTCTATGGTTATCTGCACAATCTGTTGATGTTACAATTTCAATAATTTCTTTATAACAATCAGAATTATAATTTCCAAAAAAATTATTATTATTGGCCAAATACTCCATCATAGTAACGACAATGGTACAATGTTAAATTCGGACGCAAGATAAACGAATCCTTCGAAAATCTCTCATTAACTAAGTTTAATATTGAACATTTTATTTAACTTGTGCTACTTTTTTAAGACCTTTTTAGTTAAAATAAAAGTGAAAGATTAACGATAACATTAAAAAGTCTTCATTTTTAATACTAAAACGAAAAAAAAAACAAGAAAACATTGAAGAGAATTTAAAAGGAAATAATAATTATGGTTTGAATAAAAATAAAATTGGGAACCTATTCATAGAATTGAATTTTGTTTTTTAAAGAAAACAATGAACAATAAAAATCAATTTTAAAATTGTCTTTTTTTTTCAAAAATAAAAATAATTTTCATAATTACAATTAATTTTCTCTTTCAAGTTTTTACCTCTTTGGGTTGTGGTCACTTAAAAGTATTTTACTTGGACCACATATCACAAATTGAATACAATCCTCTTTGTCAATTATGCTTTCTTAATCTTTTGTAATCTTAATCCAATGGAAAAACAATTTCCACTTTCAATTTTTATTTATTAACGTTCTTTATTTTATTTTGTCTTCTCATTGGTTATATAGAGTCTTTTATTATAAAATATCAAGGATTTTAAAAATAACATGCAAATTATAATTATAAATTTTGATTATTATTTTATCAAAATTTTTTGTATAAAAACCACTTATTGCACATGTATAAAATTTTTTCTTTCATATGTACAGAGCAAATAAAATACTCTATTATTATATTGAATGTATAATTATTATGGCTACACATTCATGATGGTTAAAACAACATGCAAGTTGTTTTATATTTAATATAAGCTATATTGTAGAGAGGGTTGTGCCTCTATAGCAGTTAGAAAAACTAACCACTTACACTATTGTTGCTACTCATACTATATTAGTATATGATTAATCAAAGATTGCATTTAATAATACTGTTTACTATTAAAAAATTGAAGGATGTAAGAAATAACATTGTAAAGAAATTTATTTAGTTCTCAATTGTCAATAACGAGTAACATACAACTATTGGGAAAGCAAATAACTGTTCAAAAATTTATTCCAAATTCAAAATTTCTGTATGAAAAATTTATTTTAAATTTTCTAAATTTTCTGAATAACATAGATTGTGAACTGAAGGTAATTTATTAAATTCAATGAATTATTTTTTAAAATTCTTAATAATTAAAAATGGATTAGTTCCATAAAAAAATACTCTCATTTGTATATACATATACAGCGGCGGATCTACCATATAATACGTGTAACCATTTGTAATGGGGGTTTCAAAACAGAGGCGCCATTTAAAGCTAAGAAAATAATTAAATTTTAAAAAATAAATTTTTTTTTAATATTTTCCATTTGGCAAAACACCAAAGGGGCGCACTTTTTAAAACCGCGTAGGGCGCCAAATGAAACAGAACCGGGTTTGTACATGTATATGCAAAACCTTTGTTATAGCTTACTTCCAAATTTTTAAAACTAAATAATTATTTGATTCAGACTATTGCTTAGTACAACTAGGCTCGATTCTGAGCTGTTCGGCGCCCTACGCAGTTCTCAAAAAGTGTGCCCTACCGCTTTCCAAACAACGAATAATATGCAACAAACATTGAATATTGCATATAATAACTACGCCCCTATTTTCTGGCGCTCATTGCATATGCTTACTTTGCATATATGACAGATCCGACGCTGAGTACAAGAATATAGTATAGCTAAATAAACATCACTTTGCTATCAGTAACTAAAACTGAAATCGTCATTATTTATAGATGGAAAGGAAAGTGAAAAGGAAAGAAGGGGTGAAAAATAATATTAATATGATATTAGTCAGAAAATTAAAAATTAAAAAGCCAAAAGCAAGCGTATATATCTACTGCACATAAACTAAGAATAAATTAAACAGAATCAATGCTGCTGCATAATCTAGCCTTAAGCACCTCCTTCTTGCTTACGTTCACACAAAAAAAAAGGCAAGTACAAGTTAATTTCCCGCAACATAATGTCATTGACTCATGCATCCCATAACCTATACTGAACTGATAACTTCATTCTAAAGTTAATAGTTGTCAGAAATGAAATATGAAGGAAAAAAAAAACAAATTAATTATTTGCTTACAACAATATTTTGTTGCATACATTTAGGAGGCACATTAATAATATTACAATTAAAACAAAAAGTGATAAAGTAATTAATAAGATCATACTTAAAAATATCAATAAGAGTTATTTTTAATCGTTTTTTTTTTTACATAACCTTCATATTCACATGTACAATAAAATAATAACAATGCGTAGCTGTAATTTCTTTTACATTTCAAGAAATAAGAAATAAACAACTGATGGATGACATAATAATATGGAAAAGCAGAACAAAATATTTCGAACTGTACTCGAAACGGTTACTCAATTCTTTCTAGTCAGACGATCTACTAATTGAACTACCGAAATATGAAGAAATTATCGGCGATTTTTTCTCTCGCGAGTAATTGTATAGTTACATGTATGTATAACTTCTTACTTTAAGTCGTTGTTTCTAAAAGGAAAAATCATAGAAAGTATAGTTTTCCTACAATTTAGTTATGATAAAATCAATAATTGGCATACTTTTTGTTTTTTAATTGCATCCTAAACCTATAAAAATCAAAAAATCAAAAAAATTATACTTTATATTATTTATTCATTTAATATTCCAATAATTTCAATTTTTTAAAAAAATTTGTTAAAAAAATTGTGACTTAAGCATGATATGGAAAAAAAATCCTCATTTCATTCAAAATCTGTAGACTATACAAACATACTTAGCTATTTACGCTTTATTATACAACCAATCGTAATATTAATCATTTTATTAAGGTATTAAACATAATTTTTCTACGATATTAAATTTTCAAACCGCCCTACGTAAAGCAAACGTAATACAAGTAACAATTTGTTTTACACACGTACTTTTTTTTTCCAAAAAGTCAAACAAGTGTCTAAAATTATTTTTATAGCTTTTTTTTTTTACTTACATTTATTTTTTATTTCGTGTAACATTATGTAACATTACGCTCTATATGCACATAAAATATAAAATATTATGATCATTGAAACAATAACGATTGAATACGAAATCAAATAATCAAAATCAAATATTTTCCATAAAATAACAAATTAAATACCAATAAAATTGGACCCTTAATTTTTGACCTATTATACCATCATTATAAGAAACATTTAAAAAAATATACAATGTGTATTACAATTCTTTTACATTCCTTTAAATTCTTTAACATTATTATTAAATCTATATATATATTTACTGTTATTGTATAACTAAGTATATAACAACATTTTATTATTATTCTTAACGGTATATTAAGATCATTGGAAAATATATTACCACATTAAATTCAATTCATTTTTTTTTCTAATTTTTTTTTTTTTTTGCCTCCTGATGCAAGTAAAAATCACCATCATCCATTTAACTTAAATAAACTTTAGTTAATATATTATACATAATAATATGAGTATGTTAGAGATTTAGAATACTGTTAGGGTATATAATATATGTATACAAGAATAAGGATATCAGTGTTTTAATAAAAATTCAAATACATAATAAAATTACATTAAATATACATATACTTGTGAAATATAAGTAAATATATAATATATTACATAATATAACGTATATACATGAATATGATATATAAGTATGTAGCATATTCATGAAATGAATGTTAAAGTGAATAATATTAAAGTGAATAATAATAATAAAAAAATAATAAACAGGACATGATATCCTTTTATTTTTATATTTTCTTTTTTCATTCTGTTTTAATGCTTTGTTCTTTTGAAGAGTATACAATATTTTTTGGTTTTTTTTCTTTTTCTTATTTCTTTGAGTTTTGTTTATTTTAACATTAAATATTATATGAATATAAACAGTTAAAAACAGATTTATGTCCTTTAGAACATAAAATATAAGAAAAACAAGGAAAACAAAACAGAAAAAAAAGAGCTATAATCTTGATTTTTATATATATTTGCTTCCCTTCCCCTCCACCATTCCCCATCCCTAACCTATTCCATTCTGTTCCAATTGATTTGTTGCTTTTTTTTCTATTTCCTTTCTTTTTTCCTTATATTTTTCGAGTCCTTTTTATTATTGTTTTCCCAACAAAATATTTCTTATTATATTACAAATGTATTAAACAATAAAAAAAAATAAAATAAAATATTTGAAAAGAAACTGTTGATCTTCTCCTATAGTACTCGTATTTTGTCGTTTGAAATAATTTAGTACCACGAATGACACAAAAATGGAAATACGGGATCAAAAGAGCTAGGAAATTTCAAATATTTTATATTAACGACAAATCACTTTTTTATTTACTTGTAATATGCAAAGGAGTTTTCTAACGAAAAAAACGTATTATTTAGAAAACATTCGAGAAAACATAACTAATTTAAATTAAAATATTGAGCTTTTAGAGTTCCTATTATTAAAATATAATGAAGTTGGTTACCCTATAATCGATTATCGTTATTGTGATTATTATTTTATTTTTTATTTCTTATATACTTTTGTTGTTACATAAATCATTAGTAGTTACATAATATAATAATAATATTTATGTCGTCATTATTTCCTCATACAACTCCCTGTTTATAATATAAATGTACTCTCGTTATTATATTTATGTAATAAAAGTATATATCTAGTATATATATATATAAGATTTTACAAATATAAAAATAATTTGTTTTTATTATTACTTTTTACTTTTGTTTTTTGTATTTTTTTTTATTTCATTTTATCATATAATCGTAATTGTTGTTATTGACTCAAATATTATACTGGAAAACCTGATGTTGCTCTTCTTTGAGTCTTTTTCTATATATATATATGTGTATAAATTTTATGTGAAAGTTGTTATTTCCATTCTTTGAGTTCATTTTTATTTATATGACTTTTTTATAACACAAAATTTGTATATAATGTGTATATTTATATGCATATATGTGCATATATATATATGTATATACAGAAATATTATTGTCGACAATGATACACGACGATATGTTGCTGTTCATCTCTTTTTTTTTTGTGTTCCTAACTAGAATTTTATTGTCCTAGGTCAGAATTTGCCTCAATATATGTGCTATACATATTTATGAATTTTTTTTTATAGCTATGGGTTTTTTTTTTAATTTTGTTGTTCTCTTCATTATTTTTTTTTATGCTACATCCTATAACATTTATTATTATAACATAAAATCTAAAATAAATAGTCTTCCTTTCTTATATACTTATTTTTAATATTATATTTTGACTTTTACATAAATAGAAATGTTACCACAATTTGAAAATTTTGTCTGTCTATTTGGTTAATAATGATGATTTTTTTTGCATAAATTTAGGCATCCCTCAATTATTCAATATTTTATTAATATTGAATAATTGAAAATTAAGCAAAATTACTATTTAAAATCTACCACAGAAGGATACCACTATCTACGTTAACAAGCTCCACCTAACAAGTTTTATTCACCTAACGTCTCCCAATATTGGATTGTATGCATTTTCATATAAGAATAAATATAAGCAATAGGGTGTTACTGTACTGCAGCTATTCTGCAACCCGTAACTATAAATTTTTAAAAATTTGGTATGCTTTACAGGTACGTGTACTTTATCAATGACAAATTTTAAATAAATCTGGCAACCTTTATTCCTATAATTGCATAAATAAAAAAAAAAATATTTTATATATTTTTTTCAATATATTCGGTACAAAACAAAAAAAAAAACAAGCAGAATAGTTAACTTCTAACCATAAAGTTATTTATGTGTCTGTATAATAAATTTTTCATTCACTTTTACTCTTTATGGACTTTTTT